TTTTTTTTTTTTTAGTTTCCTCTTTCACATGGTTGATTTGAGGAAAAAAGAAATTTTCACTACTTAATAATTGAATTTAAAAATAGATTTTAATGACCGCTAAATTTCACTAACTTTTACTACTTCATAACTGAACTCAAAAATGTATTTCAATGGTCACAGAACTATACACCATGTTACCCATCTATCACTCAAGTTGACGTCATTTCTTGAACGTAATGGATTTTTCCATTTGAGTGATGGATGGGTAACACGGTGCATAATTCAGTGACCATTGAGATACATTTTTAATTTCAGTTATGAAGTAGTTACACTTGACGAAATTTAGTAACCAGTGAGATGGATTTTTAAGTTCGGTTATTAAGTAGTAACATATGACAATGACAAAGTTCAGTAACCATTCATGTAATTAACCCTCTATCGGAAACATATGGTTATTAAAGATTTTGATGTCGAACACAAAAATGACATCCCATTTTCCAAAAAAAAAAAAAAATAGGGCTAGGACATGAACATGTCGTCCATTAAAATTCTTTAAAATTATTCATTTATACATTTTTAGATTCTTTTTTGTTTTGCAATAGGAATATTACATTTTTAGCTTTTAATTTTATTTTGATAGAGAAGTCTTTTGAATTAGAGGGATGCTTGTTTGTCATATGGCTATAGTAGATATAAACAAATTGGACATAAAGTTCGTGGAATTTTTCATAAATTATCTTGATGTTACAAAATGGGGATTGCTGTGCCCTTCATTTGTCGTGGACATGTTCCGACATATGTAATAAACTAAAATGTATAAAAATTATTGGACGTTGCCCAGGCATGTCAAGGATGTTTCTGTCACGTATCAGAAATTAAAAACAATATATAAAAATAGGACACACCACATATCGTATCAGAAATGTGTCCTGAAGTGTCCACCCCAATAGAAGTTTCCTTGCTTCAAAGGAAAGTACCGTAAATAATATCAAATTTTCATTTTGAAGGAAAGAGGAGCTCGCGGGTGGCTGCAATATTTGTTCAAGAAATCTATTATGGTTTTGGGATTGCTTTTACCATAACTGACATTTTTTTATTTTTTTTTTGCAGAGGGAAATAGATAACATCCTCACAATAACAACAATTTAGATGAATACCTCAAATGTTTTGTTTGCATTGATCTTTAGGGCATGAATAAAAACAGTCTTAAAAGCTTAAAATAGTAAGAACTACCATACATATATGAAACTGGTGTAAAAATAGTATTGCTCTCGTAAAAGCATGAATGCTTATCAAACAAACTCTGTACCTCCTTCCAGCACCACCAACACCACCTCGGCCATAAGCAGGGGCAGTAGGCAGTGACTGTGGTTCAATAATCTGCTTAATAACTCCAGGAAGGTCAGCCATGCCTAGGGCAGTAAGCATGTCATGAGTCTCTTGGTCAACTTCGATGACATCAGTCTTAATGGCAGACTCATCGGGCACAAAGTCCATGCGCCTCTCACGTTCCTCCTCCTACAGCTTTAGTGAGATGCCACGAAATTGCTTTTACCATAACATCGGCCATCAGCATGAGGTTTTCATCTAATTATGCTTTCTGCTCTGCTTTGATTATGCTTGATGTGCTGATGCAATGTTTTCATGAATACTTTAAAGGAAATTAGAATTCATGTACTTTGTGTTTTGGCACTCGTATTAGATCGCTAATTGCTTGCAACTTCAAGATCCTAAAACAATAATTCAGTCATTATTTGTAAAGGGAAAAAATATATTACTTGAGCAATGATATCCTCAAAAATCGCTTGAGAATTCTGAGCAAACCTATCTTAGAAAACTACTAATATCATTAAGGTGTCAATGACTTTGTGAACATTGACCTTCAACTCTTTTGCTAATATCTTGCATCTATGGCAATTAGTCAAATTGCCAACATCTTCTTATATCCTGGTATTTGTTGAAATCTGTTCCAGGAAGAGCGCAAGAGCTTTTGAACTATCTTTTTATTGATTTATAAAAGGTGGCTTGGTATATGGGTTCGGTCCATCATTAAACGAGGGATTGGTTATCTTCCATATGTTCCTTTCTTTCTTTGGTTGTGCAGATATGTAAAATGGCTAGGCATTGTGGACAGGCTTTGTCCGAGAGTGTTTTGCAAAGTAAAGGCTATCAGAAAAAGATTGCAACAGTCTGAATTGGCATGTTGGTCCACCAAAAAATATCAGGAATAGCTCACTGGCTGTTTGATCATTTAAAAATTCTAGGAAAATGAACATGTGATAGCCATTCTATCATGAACTTTTAAGATGTCAATCTACTCTACTAAGGGTCAATTGGTTTTCCAGTGGATGCTATTGTGAGCTATCTAAATCTAAAAACTTGCTGGACGAGGTTCATTCACACAAAAATTAGACAATGACTGTTTTAGTCAACAACATAAAAAGGAATGTTAACCACCCTAATTCAGTTCTCATTAAATGAATATCCATTATTGTCGATATTTTTCGTATTTTTAACACCTTTGGTTCTGTCATATAAGTCTTATAACTATATTGAAGAATGGTATCAGCCTTGGAGTGTAGAGCATTGTTAAAGGTTTTGGGCTGCCTCGCTAAATCTTGTGTTTGTTGAGCCATTTATGTTGGGCCATTTTAATTACAACCGGGTTGCTGATTGTTAGATGAAAAACGTATTTTGATACAACACGATTTTAACCTCTTTTCAGGGATGAGAATCAGCCGTACGCGTGGCTTCATCCCAGCCCTTTGATCGTGACTATTGGTGTGGACAGATATATATTTGACCTTGGCCCTGTTCATATTAGAGATGGTTTTTCATATTTTTCTTCTCTCCGTCTCTTCTACTTTTCTGAGTGAAAAGTTAGGGTTTTGTCTCTGTAATCTGAAATCAATCTTTGTGATTGATAGTTGTTGTTCTTAGTGGTAATCTCTGATTGCTTAGTGCGACATATAGAAAAATCAAATGAGTGAGGATTTTTCAGTTAAAGAGGCGAGAGAAAAATCGAGGCGAGAGAAAAATCGAAGAAATCAAACATTTCTTCGTACATTTTGTAAACTGATTCTTGGTTGATATTAGTGGATCTCGAGCTAAATCCCTTAGTGGATGCTCAACGGGTGATTAGGTCTTACGACCGAACATCCGGGCCCTTTCAAAGGCAAAATCATATCCGGTGTCCTTGCTCTTTTATGTTCTGCAATTTCTTTGAATGTTTTTACTCAAATTAGATCAAATCATAAGGTTTCGAAAATAACAAGCATTATATGGTGCACCAATCTGTATAATCAATATCTTTGAAGATCAATGTTTCTCTATTTGTTTGTCATTTTTGGTTGTTTACTCATAGAAGATAGTACCTAATTTTATTGTTGGATCTTCTTATGAGAGTGATTTATGGTGATATATTCGTTGTTCTAAGGGCAATTCTAAAATCAAATTGTTACCACAAGGGAGGACCCGATGCTCCATGTGAATATGCCGATGGTTTGTTCATGTTGCTATTTGGAGTTGTTCAGGTATTATTCTCGCAGATACCTGATTTACACAACATGGAGTTGCTCTCGATAATTGCTGCAATCATGTCCTTTGGATATACCCTCAGTGGACCAATACTCGCTTTTGTGAAAGTATTACGTAATTTCAAATCAACATTACTCTTCATTAGTCTATCATTTTAGTTTGGATTCATTCTTAAACAAGTGCATCAGGGAGCATAAATTAATATGCCTTCCCTAGATGGATATGGTTGGTGTCAATTTTGCCTAGTTTTGTTTGATTCTCCTGATTACTGAATTGAACCTGCAAAAGGATGGGGAATTCCTCCAAGGATACTGATGCTCAAGCTAGTGGAAGGAATGAAAATGATATGAATTGATAACGAAATCTCGTAGAAATAACTTTTCTTTCATGCTTTATTTCTGGTTAACCTTCTCCATACATAGGTACCTCAGGTTGTTGGTCATTTGCCCACTTTCTTCCTAATCTGCAGCCATTTGTGCTAGAAAAATGCTAAACGACCCACGGCGTTGACAACATGGATGACCGCTCCCTCACAGCCTAGGCGTGGGTCCCGCGTCGAATAAAAGAATATTTCCCCCCTTGTGTGTATGTATGTCAACCGCGCGGTCACCCACGCGGTTCATCTAGCATAGTTGTTTGTGCTATGTTAAGTGAGTGGGTGGAACTTCAACGGTACAGTGAGACTTTAACTTGGTCAATGTATGGACCTTTGCAGCCTATGGGTATGGGAGAGTGCTGCTAACATTGTTTTCTTTTTTTCTTTTTTGTTTAAAATGTTATGACATCATTATGGTTTAAATCCGTAGACCCCGATTTATTTTTACCGTCTGCCAGTTCTAACCCATTTTGACCTTAGAATGGAAATAAATGTGACAAAAATATACTTAGTTTAACAAGCGTGAGTCTGGTGCTGGAGTGCGAAGATGTTCTGAGAAAAAAATGGCGCAGATTATACTTGCATTGAGTCCCACCCTTAGACGACTTATCTATATCATAATAATTTTGGGAGGTCATTGGTCAACTGTTGACTCAGTATCAAAATTTTAGTCGTAGAGGTAAATATAAATGAGTTTAGATCAATGTATTATTTCTCTTAAGCCTTTGAATTGGTAAATGCAGGAGATGGAGAAATCAAGGGAGGTATTAGTGGAGTATCTACAGCTGCTTTGGCTAAAAAACTATTGCTGTCGTCACAAGCAGTTGGGGATATTGCTTTTGCTTTCACATACAATGCAGTCCTTCTGGACATATAGGTGAGAAGATAGTATTTGCTGTATATTATGATGTGCTCTGAGACGATCTTTTAATCGATTTATCAATCATTTTGAATCTTGCAATGAGATACCAAAGCTAGTTAATGAACAAGTAACATGCAAATGTAGGATACTCTAAAGGCAACGCCACCAGAAAACAGAACAATGAAGAAGGCGTCAATTACAGCTCTACTTATTACCACCACCTTATTTATTTGCTGAGGATGTTTTGGATATGCTGCTTTTGGCAATCAATCACCTGGAAATCTATTGACATGATTTTATGAACCCTACTGGCTTGTTGACATTGCCAATCTGTTTGTATTTCTTCATCTTTTGGGAGCATATCAGGTACTGCATTCTATTTACGAAGTGCGAGCATCTTGTTACTCGAATGATAAGCGTACAATTCATTTGGACAGAATGATCATTTATAAAAAAATGACATCCAAATATACTTTGACTATAGTCATTAAAAGATTGAGGAATGCACTTCAAATTCTCTTGCTACTATTTGATTTTACCTAGTGGAGTAGAAAATTCTTACTCCCCCCACTTCCCTGGTTCTTGAAGCCATATACGAAAAGCAAACTCATACACAGCCAATGGCATATTTCTATACAAGATAATATTTAGTGGGCATAAAAATTTAAAGAAATTGAGAAAGATGAAATTCTGTACAAATTAATGATGTATGATGCGTAAGCTCATATTGTATGACCACATTGTCTGGTAGGCTATGCACTGATATCTCGAACAATGGCAAAGACTTTTTGTTTGCTTCTGTGATCTTCATTCAGAATTCTCTGGTCGATTAAGTGTAGATGCATGCACAAGGCATGATATTTTGAAAACAGTAGCAAAGAATTTACGTATGCTAATGAAAACAGGAGATGTACACTGTGTAGAATAATATATGGGTTTGGACAGGAGCATGGATAGTTCTTCAAGCTTTCAAAATACTTTGCTTGCTTTGCACCATTTTTGCTTTAGTAGGGTCATTAGAGGGACTCATAAGCAACAGATTGAGCTAAGAATATCCATTTTTAGCAGAATGCTTTTGTTAACTGATTGATGTGAATACATTGAATGGATTTGTTGGTTTCATGGAGCAAAAATATGCAGAACAAATTTATAAACATTGTGAGAATATGGTTCTCTTAACTCCATTAGACTTAAGTGCTATTTGTGTAATTCACATGAATTGTACTTGTCTAGTTTTATTATAGACCATTGGATGGGATCGACGGCCGGGATTTAATCTATTTGAGATATTTTTGTTGCCTTGTCTTGGGGGGAGAAGCTTTGACTTGATAGTTACCACAAAAAGGGGCTTTCCCTACGTTTTTGCAAGACAGGTCTTTTCTCTCTTCTCCAGTCGACCACTCTCTCCATTTTGCACCTTCTGCTTGGTAGAAGGTTGAGGGTGCGTTGGTGACGGTTTCTATCGAGGTTCTTTGCTGGTTTCTCTCTCTGTCTCTATGGAAGGTGATTTGCATAACATGGGAGCTGTCTGGAAGGTGATTTGCATGACATGGGAGCTGTTCCTGAGCCTATAAATCAACCATAAGGAAGAGGAGAAGTTGCTGTCCATTTCGGCCGAGATTGGGTTGTGTTTTTCCATTTTATATTCCTTGATTTTGCCTTGGAATCTTTTATTGATTGATGTTTATTGTTTGATTGAACACCAAGGATCCCAACAAACTGGTATCAGAGCAAGGAGGAGTGAAATCTGTCCAAAAATCGAT